TGACTACATTCCCCCCCCCACTCACTCTTTCTCTCTCCCCCCCCCCTTGAACGTATCCTTGCTACCATCTCTGTGGTTTCAGAATGAGATTATCACTCCACAAAACCTCTCAACCTACACCTTACTCAACTCGATAGAAAGAAACTCCCAATACACCGCCAAAAGTTGTACAGTATTAACATTTGAAGTCAAATTATTACAACACTATAGTTGTAAGGCCTAATGCATTTGTTTGTGTACAAGGTAGGCAGTTATAAAGATGTGATTAATGAGTGAGTACCAACGAGTTCCATCTTGCATTTGTGTCACAAGCTACATCTTGAGGCCCACACACACATCTATAGTAATAAAGCAGAACTTCGATTAAAAATCTATCTTTTAACCATCACTCTCTGTTATCTTCACCCCGCTATAGTACATGTTATTTTATTTCACAGTACAAACATTGAACTAGTACAACACACATATAACTGTTCAGTATTACTCTTGTATATAAGTAATTTAAATATAAATAAGTATTATTCACTTGTACAGAATTTCTGTTATCCGTTTTTTCGCTTAACCGTTACACTCCCGGACCCGAGAGGAGGTGCAGGGGGAGGGGGGAGGCTTAGAGGTTCTACTGTAAGCTGATCTCAACGTTTGAAGTGTAAAATAGGTTGTCTTAACTTTTGATTGATACGTTTTTAATCAAAAGCAGAGACTCCGTACTGTCGAAGATTTTGCTTATAGTAATGTAAACTATTAGTGTTTGCGTCATTGTAACTACATGGTCTTCATCATTGCTCTATTTTTATTGTTGCGTATTGTCCATTATAATTAGCAATCCACTTAGTGTGTGATCAGCGGTCAAATTGAGTCGTTCTTTATTCTTACAACTAGATTGCACACACAAGTGTGGCACAAATACCATTTGGAACATACCAATTTCAATTTCAAATTCCCAAGACGGTTTAAAAAACACCTCAATTAAATGAACTTTTCATTATTCCCTGACACATCGCTATTGACCTCATCAATGTAAAACGTCTAAAAGTACGATGGCACTCACAAGTAGCCATGACACCAACGCTGGTGTCAGAATTGTGCAATGAGAACAATGGAGAAAGTCACTTTACTTCTCTTTGAGTCTAGGAGCCGCAGGCGAGGAATAGCAACAGATAGAATGATCGGGTTTGGAATCCATTATAAAGTAAAAGGCATAATTTAATTTTGGGATATTAATAGAAACAATTTTTTGTATCGAAGCCTGTTGCATTTGCATTAACATTAAACACTTTTGAGGGAAAAGCGGTAAAGTCATTAAGTCAAGTAAATTTTGTTGGAATGCCAAGGATTGAACTGGTCTTTTCCGCACTGGAGCCCTAGACGCTAACCAATAGGAAACACACCCAGGACCTGACACATAGACTTAATTTTATACATAGATTTATTTCAACTATGCAACAAATAGTTGGAAACGTATTGTTTTTATTTAATAAACGCCATCAGTAATGTGAAAAAAACCATACGCTTTTAAAGCAATAAGATCAGAACCAGCAGATCTTTTTGAGGATACACACCAGTAATCAAACATGTTTATCTTGTTCTAAAGTTCAAAACTACAACCACAAAAAACACATTCTATTTGCTATTCATATTATTATAACAAAGAGATAACTTCATGACATTCTTCAGTTGACACACAAACGCAGGACTGGGTGACTGTTGAGATAAGATGTGAAAAATGGTGGATAATAGTCTGTACAGGTTAATTCACGCTGAGGGTGGGTGTTACCTTGTAGTATACAAAATACTATAACTTAAGTGACACCCTGGTAATAGATTATTCAGAATGCCCTATTATTTTAGTAACGTCATAAAGTTTAAACAAACAAATGAAATAACTATCCCAATAATCAAGTCTTCCTATTAACAGCGAGCATCATGAAATAACAGTACCTCAGTAAATAGTTTACTGATTATACAATTATTTTTTAAACGTCGGTTGAACTTTTAGAAAGTGCGAGTAAAATAATGCCGATTGTGTCTTTCTATACACGTCGAGCAGCACGAAATAATATAGTACCTTGGTAATATGATTTTTTTTGGAACGTCGTCTGAACGGTTAGTTTGAGCGAGTAAAATTAAACTTTGATTGTGTGTTCCTATTAACAACAAACCGGCTTAAATGTTCTAGACGAGGAAGTAATAGATGACAAAAATAATAGTATTATTTCACTTATTACCGAAAAGCTAAAGAACGATTCTGACTATTATTGCAAAGTAACCGTGTTTCCTATCTCTAAATCATACTCCTAAAGTTTAGACGTGATAGATCTCACAATAATATCCAAAACTATACACTGCGTTGGTAGACTTCTTCTTGTTCTGGATCAAAAATACAACTTCTTTTTCTACAAACTAAAAAAGTTTGAACCGTAAAATTTTCAATATAAGAAGGAAAGGATTCAAAATTTAAATATACAGATTTGTGTACACAAAATTGAAATTACAGCAGTAAAATTTGCATGTACTAGATGAACTACTACTATGTACTAGATGATTTTAGATGTAGTAGATGAAGTTGTACTAATGTTGACTAGTTTGTTTACTTTTCTATACAAAATGTCACCCCAGTCAAATGCAGAGGGATTTTTGAACTATCAAAAGTTGTAATCAAACAAAATGAAGTCTACTGTATTTTCTCCGTTTCTGTTTTTTATTCCCTTCAAAATTAGAGAAGTCATTGTATCACTTTATAATTCATATTGTAGGCAATATCATTTTAATATAAGATTTGATTTGAATATCTAGGCAGCTGCAAAAGATGTAATTTAACTAAAGGATATCTGTTAAAACGCCGAGATCAGATGATGTTGTAACTCTACAATAACTTGCACATTTATAATCCAAAGTTCAAAACCAACGATTCATGTTTCAAAGATTTTTCCTTAAACGTAGTTCAAGTAGGATTGATAATATTTGTTAATTCTAGATACTAATTTCTAACACACATTTCTAATAGTTTTTTCCAACTAAACTATCCACTTACGAATCCGTCTGAAACCATTTAAACATCCATGCACCTCTAAAACCTAACTAACATCAGACAAAGACCTCTAAAACAGAACATCCAACAGAGACTAAAAGTCTAGAGGGTCAGGGGTACCAACATCGGAACATCCAGTGCTACATAACAATCAGGTGCTGTACAGCTACAAGTGCCAACACGACGGCAGGAACAAACGTGTCCACGTACTTTTTTAATGTTTTGGACATTTATGTAGCCTTAATCAAGAGTATTACCAATTTTTAGGCTGGTTAAGATTTTAGAATATTTCATTAAACTTCATATTTAAAGTGGCATTACAAACTTGAAATACAATGAATCTCCAAACGGAAAAGGAACAAGCTAAGTAAATATTGTGGGGAAACAATTATTACAAGGAGAGTTTGTTGAAATACAGTAGAACCCCGTATTTTAGAACTGGATAAGTCCGACCTCGGTTGGTCCGAATACTTGCTTGATCCGACCGTGCCATCGCTTACCGATGACAATGTTATCGCAGTAATACTATTTGTCATATTGCAAATTTGACTATTTGCCATGGTCATGTGGAGATCTTCACCGTCTCCCATCGCGGCAAAATCTTTGTTTATTTAACCGCGATACAGAGACATCATTCTTTTCCACGATTGTTATAAAATATTGAACGTCTACCAATGGTCATGGGAATACTATAATCGTGTTCTATGATCGTAAAACATTCCTTGACAAATACCACTAAAGACGAGTGTATAAATCTGGTAATAACGACTGTGAAGTCTAAATAAAAAACAATTTTCTGCTCATTACATTGGTTTTGAAATAATTTCATCACAAGTTCAACAATTTAGTACGTAACACGTTTGTTCCTAGGGAAGGCATTTTTCAGACGAAAGTTTCATGACAGTGCTATACTACACTAATTGGTGGCCCACCGTTTTATTTGTTAAACATTTTTCAATTTAATTTTGGTATTATTAAGGATAGTAAAAGACTGTTAAACTCTAAATTATCCCTGAACTTGTGTACAAATTATAATTAAATTAGTAATATCAACAGAAACTGTTTAATGTGTATTAAACAATTGAATCAACTTTTGACGACATAATAATTTTAAAAAATTTAAAAAGTTATTTATTTGTGTTGAACATGTATTTTCTTATTGATCGAAATGGGCCACCTTCTAGGGGGTCTAAAGCCTCACAACAATCAACCAAGCTCTACTTCTTTGGCCTTTGTTCCTTTTAATATAAAAACAGTTTTGAACAAAAATGATTATATTTATATTCTAATTATAATTATTATTAACTTGTTGGAAAATAAATAGTTCAAAGATTATGAAAACAAAATTACTATACCAATGAAATTTTGTTTTTGTTTTTATGTTGATTAAAATGGGTGTAGGCTATCAGTGGGTTTAGATTTTTTTGTTGGTCCACAATTGAGTGGAACCTCGATAATAAGTGTAATTTTGAAATACCATTGAGTTTATATTTTATTCCTAGTTACATGTTACTGGAAACCTCATATTACTATCTGTGTATTTTCTTGCTATTGCTATTGATTTATTAATGATTGGAGAATCCAATGTAGTTATTTAATACTTGTTTTGTAACAGTGAGTTAGTTTAGTTTCACCTTTTCACAAAAACTCTATAAATGCAGATTAGAGCTCAAATTAAATTTCAAAGTTTATTTGTTTTGATGTAATATTTATTCTAATTTGAATGAAAAACTTAACTGTCTGCAGTGGTAAAATGAAAACGGGAATGTTTTGTTAATACATATAAAATTAGTAGTGATGCAGGAATTGTATAAATATTTTTTTTCTAATTACAACTTTTATTCCTGATATCTAGTTTAACATAAAAATGCTAACAACTTATTTACAAAATCAAAATAATCCCTTTTAATTTTAGGTCAAAACACAAAACTTTGCGGGAATAAAGGCCAAAAGAAGATTAGAGCCCCACCTCATCGCCTGTTTCAGTGGAACCCATTGTTGCCTGGGTCTTCAATATAGTGTAGAGCTTACAGTACGGCGCCTTGAGAACCTACAATAACACAATAGGTACTGCCAACCGCACAACCGAAAACTACCCTAAAGTCCCTACAGGTAAAAACATTCTCACTTTGTATAGTACCAAAAATAGTGGTTCCATGATAACTCAGGAAATTCTCGGCTACAACCAAAAGGTTTTTGTACAAAGTTTGTTGTACTGAGCAAGAAAATGTTTATGATTTATCTAACAACATTCTTTAGCCATAAAATAAGTATCACTATTCAACCAACTAAATTAGTAGAAAAGATTTCATAGCAAACATTCTTAGCAGTTTAAGAAATAAATAACATTATTTCTGGTGTCATCATGAACCTCTTGTAACAACTAATTATATACAATTAAATCATCAGAATGTATTTTAGCCTTAAAATATTTTCATTCTATACCACACAAGAAATACTTGGTGGTACAACCATTTTTTTTTTGTTAATAGATTTTAAAACCTGATAAAAAATCTAATTATTTGTGTATTAATGAAGTTAGGAGAAAACATTTATTAAGTAGAGAAAAGAGTTGAGAAATTTAATAATCAATGCTTAAGTGCTGCAGTAAAATGAATTTACCCACCTTACAAAAAAATCTTAACTAGCAAAATAAAAGGAAAGTTAAGACAACTGACAACACTTTTTAGAAATATTTGCTGGATTTAAATATTTTTAGTATCCGTCCATATTTTCCAGCGTTAAACATGTCCTCAGATAAGAATTTCACTGTCATTCATTTGGCACTAGCTCAGTGACACTCAGCAAAATTTGTTGATCACTTGGACTACTTTATAGTAAAAAGCTCACATAGCATTACTTTTATAAACGCCAAGTAGTAGTAGTCTTCAAACGCCAAGCAGTAAGTTATCTTCCCTCAATATTCACACCCGTACCACAAATTAACTTTCCCCAACAACTTTGTAATGTTGGACAACCAAGCACTCAATCAACCCCACCACCAGTAACAGCACAGTCTCTTACCTCCCAACTCTCGCGTGTGAGGTCCGCGATGTCGTCGTCGTCGCTGCCTCGTCGTCCGTCTTGTCGCGCAGTAGCGTCCTCCGTTTCCCACAATTCCGTGTCAGAGTCAACCAGCTCGTAGCCTCTGTCGGCCACTGTAGTCTCGTCCAGATCTCCGTACAACTGAGGCACCCACACCATTAGGAACCGGTACAAGTCGTCCACCCTGCGAAATAATAGGTTGATATACAATCTTATGACGTTGATGTTTTGTGATTTTATTACAAGTTCCAAGAGAACGACAACAATTTTCCAAGTTTATTATCGTATTAGATAAGCGTGTCAAACCATTCAATAAGTCGCTTTACATCTTCTCATAGTTTATCCCTATTTCTATTTCACCAACTAATAAGATAAGGACATAATTGACAGGACTCTAACAATAGAAACCCTCTTATAGGGATATATTGGCACCAAACTCTTATAAAAAAGTAATTAACTTAAAACCTGAAGAATACAAATATGATACACAGGCCTAATAGTCAAATTCATTTTTCTGACGATTGATTTTGCCAATTTGTCGAAGAGGTTTCTTTTTGCGCTGATACTGCACAAAAGCTTGACAATCTGTAAATAAAGTACCAATTCGTTTAATTCTCCTGAGAAACCTAACCTATAAAATCACTTAAACATCTGACTTGTTCCCTCACCGTTCTCGCGGCACACTGAACCAATATTCAGGCCTCATCTTCTTCTTGCCGTAGGACATGATCGGGGTGCTCTTTGGTATTTTCTTGTCCTTTGGTTTGCCCATCCGCAGCCTCAGGTAAAGTGGAGGGTCATCACATGACTGCGCTGGCCGAGGTATCAGTTCTGCCAACACAACATTCACTGGTCAACAAAATTCCCTTCAAACTATTTGGATAAAAAAAAAAACTTATATAGTAAATCAGTTAATGTATGAATTAGTTTTAACACAGATTTAGTTTTGAGTTTATATTCTGAAACTTGTAACTACTATTATTTCTACTACTAGAGGACTAGAGGTAAATCATCTTTTATGTATTTTGAAAGATTAAACAAAAAACTGGATCTGAACCACTGTTAATAGAACCAAGCTAATCAGGTATCCAGTCAGAAATACATTTAAACTTATATTTACAAAAGTAGGTAACTATAACTTAAATTTGTCTGAAATTTATAGTAAACAAATCTCCATCTTCACAAAAAAGTTTAGCAAGAGAAGAGTTAATTTGTATAATTGTTTTAAAAATAGGTAGTCAATATTCATAATAGGGCAATTTTTTTAGACTAAAATTAGCAAATTCTTTTTTTAACCCAACACTCAACATTTTTTAAAGATTAACAAAACTAGCCAAATACTATGAATAATGATTACTCTTAAATGTGCACAGCAGCTATCCCAATCATGCAGGAAACATGCTTGCATTTAAACTGTCATGTCAGTTTTTTGAAAATAAATAAACAGGGTGAAACAAAATTTTGAACGATAATTATTTAAATAAAATTTATCTGAAGCTAATTACAAAATAAATTTCATTCTCAGTAGGCTCCTGGTAATTTAAGCTTCAAGAATATTATTAAATTCGAAAAACTATAAGAAGAATAGTAGCAGTTTTTCTTACTATTGTTATGTATGGATTGCAATTAAGTAAAATAATAATTAAGTGTACCAAGAAAATTGAATTGCTTTTGAAGAAGTCACATTAATTAGGACCGCAAACATTTCAAGTGATTTTGTACAATTTAAGATAGGCCTACTACAACAATTACTCTATATGAAAACTTGACTTTTTATAAAATTGTATACAACACCAGAAAAAGTGAACACTTAGAATCCAAAATTTTGCCGACTTCCCATACAACATAAGAAATTAAATTATTAGTTAAACCTTTAAGAAAAATGTGAACTTATTTTTATATCGAGACAAACATTAAAATAACTTAGTCAAATGATTGGCAAACCAAGTTTTAACAGGAAGCACAGTAGTTAGTGTGTGAACTGTGAACGTACCCAACACTTCTAGTTGCGGAAATAGTGGGGCATGTACTGGGGGAGGAATCAACAAAAACATACGTGTTAGTGTATGTATGTCCACACATGCAGTAGTTGCTGCATTTAACTGTACGTTAAACCATTGACCTGGACACTATACTCCGTGCTCAACATTTAGGCGGTTTTAGGGGAAGAAATCTATCCCCTCCACGTGTTGATCCTTAAAACACAGCCCAATAGCTGAGATTTGTCAAAACTTCAATCAGCAGAAAAAAGTGTTTGGGGACCCCTCAACCTGCTTAAATATTATTAATGGACTATAAAAGGGACATCTCATCTATATGGACCAGATTCAAATTTTTTTTAAAGAATATAATTGAATGAAACATTTCATAGAGTGCTAAGTCTAAAATTTTCAATCGATTACCTTCGTTATTGTTACTAGAGAGCGTTGATTAAGCAAAGCCCGGTAACCAAAAATAAGAATGAAATACAACATCTATAGTAAAATATAGGTCAAAGTGAGGTAAAACCAGTCTTCGCAATAGAAGTACAAGATAGAAGTTAAATAGTTTACTAAACGTAAAACGTCGTTAATATAAATAAAAAATAAAGGGTTATTTGACTTTGAATTATTATTCTTGCTAAAATATTAGTGTTTAAAAATTTGCAATAAAAAAACTGTATCTTTTAATTTTCTCAAAATAATATTTTTATTAGTATCATTTTTAAGAAGGTTTAACGATAATTTACATAACTTTGAAAACACATTTAAATGCAGCAACCATCAAATATAACACAGTAATTTCAAGCTCTTGTTTAATAAGAGTTGAGCAAATGGAAGGAAAAGGCATTTTGGCATTACCGGTAATTCAAATTTTACTTTTAAAATACTTTTAGTAGAACTAACAGCACCTCAAGTATTTAAAACAAGAGCTTTTAGTTGTTCCCCTCAGAATGTAACAAGATCAAATGGTCGTAAAATGTTAGAACTCGGACATTAAGTAGGGTTTAGATAGTATTTTGAAATCATTGAAATCACAAATTTGCCATTTAGGTAGAAATAGCGTAGTAAAAAAATGATCTGTAAGAAACCTAATTAATTGTTCTTCAAACCCCTCATCTTAAATTTTAACTATGAATGTAATTGGCAAAAGAATCTCACTATTTATATCATAGCCATATCACATGTTTTTAATTTTTTTTTTATGAAAATTATCATTGAATTATACAGTTTTGGAAATAAACAACACTTAAAAAACAAAAAAAAACAATTTAATTAGTATATTAGGATTCTGAGAGAAACAACACACAATAAACAGTGTATATTCAAAGCATCTAAACTACCACACAGCTATAAAGCAGTGATTTAAATTATCCTACATATAAAACTGTTTAGCATTACTAAATATTTTCTAAATGTAATGAAACAAATTTAACTATTTTTGTTACAGTATTTTGATAACCAGATCAAAATGTCAACAACTACTGTTTTCTTATTGCATACCAATAATTGTCATAATTTTACTAACTGGTTTTAAAGTATCTTAATTTAAATACAAACCCATTTCAATCATGTCATTTTTGAATTCCAACAATAATTTGACGCTTGCAAGACGAAGGGGGAGCATATGATAAGCCTATGTAATTACGTCTCATCTTGCGAGCATCAAATTGTCAACTTTATACAAAGTAATAAAGGGTAAAAAGTATTTTATAATTTGTAGCCTAAGACATTGCTGTGTTGGTATCACAGTGTCAAACTACTAATTAGTCCTAACTCACTGTTAATTGCTTGTGAATTATTAATCATTACCAATTGAGATGTGGGTGAAACTGAATGTATTTTGTCCCAAATGTGAGAGAATTGAGTGTAGGATGGAGAAAAATGTCTTGTGTAAGCCGAACCATTTATTAAAAGCCCATCAAGAACAACTCAGGGTGTATCCGGTTTTTAACCCTCAGTTTCTAACTTGGCACCAGCAACCTTTTGATAGTTGAGTACTCACCTATAACTGTACCTATCAGTATAAGTACAGTAGAACGTCAATAATACAGATTAATTGGGACCGGACCCCGTCCAGATTATCGAAATAACCCTAAAAAAGGCCAGCCTGCACCATATGAGAAGAAAAGATTTTAAATTGTATACTTTCTACTATAGGTACACTAAAGGGTATCTATTATATTATTAAAGTGATACAATCAAATTTTATGTAAACGGTTAAGGCCATTTACCAAATAAAAATATAGGCATGTGGCATATTAAAATGAAGCTTAGAGTGTGTAGATTTGCCGAAAAGTATTGATATGGACGAACTCCCTAAGGGCTCTGCCCCACAGGCTGATTTCCAAAGGGCTACGCCTTGCATGTTTTGGAAGTTAACGTTATTCAATTAATTTATTGAACAACAGCTGGCCAATGCAATTGACAATGTAGTTTGTTTGTTTACATTTTTGTTTACTTATTTTATTATTTAATTATGTTCTTAAAAGAGGTGAGGTGAATTTACAGTGAAGCTATTTCTAGCTGTTTGATACAAGTGAGTGATTAAAGGTGTTCGAAACACGATGAATATGAGATTAACAAATCATGTATATCGTTCGTTCCAAGAGGTTGTCACCATTTCATTGAAAAGTATTCAAGTAAAGTATTAAAGGCGTCGTGAAAGAGAGCGGAGTGGTCAGTTACAACCGTACCTACCTCGGCCACCTTAAGACGTAAGGTATGAAGCAATGACTTTATATCTACACAGTGTGGATACAAAGTCAATGGTACTAGGGTTTCACTTCTTTTAACATCCTTTCAGATGACAATTTCTCGAACTTGGGCCTTTTAAATTAAATATAAAGTCAAAGTTGATTAAATTAATTTAATAGTTGCTTATGTACATCCGTGAATTCGCGGGTATAACCTCTTGTAAAACATAAATGAACACAAAGCATTTGTTAACCAGCGTTAGTGGTTTTATTTGCAGCAAAGTCCTCAATTTGTTTCAAAAGACAGTATAAAGTTTTATTTCTTGCCTGACACAAACCTAGATTATTGAAGGTCCAGATTTTACGTCTGAATTATCGGCGTTCTACTGTCGTATGAGCTACCCACTACAAGCGAAGGGTACCATTGTTTTTGTCTAACAACTCCATGGACCAGTAAATCAGAGTACAGATATTTGTGCAATACTTACTGTCAAAGGAGACAAAGAGTTCGGGCATGTCCTCTACGCTGACCATGCTGCGATAGTCCAGCTTGGGGCCGGTCTTGTCTTTGTGATGCGGCTGATGTTGTTGTCTGATGAAGGTGCCGACTGAGGAACGCCTGAACAACACCATCATGATAAACAACATAAAACACAACAACTGAGTACTGAACGATATCTTTATTGATAGAAGTAGACATACCAGTCCTATGTAGCTGTAACAAGTTTTAGAATACAAATGAGTGTAGTTTTTTTTATTAAATTTTATAAAAAAGAGATTTGCGGCCTATATTAACATTGCAATTGCTCATCTACAAGGGCCTCGGGCCTGAGCGGGTAACGTATCCATCTATTTGGAATGTCAATTATCCTGATAAAAAAGACCACACAATCTGAAGATTTTTAGTAGACAATTAATAGACATCAATTAAATATATTTCATAACAATAGTAGAAAATGGGTTATTAAATTTTTGAGACCATACTTATGTATGAAGTGCAAGGACTTTAAATATTGTTGAGAATAGGCAAAGACCCACTTTTACTCGTGTTTAGAACGTTACTTTTCGCTAGGCAAAAAAGACTCTTTATTCAAAAAATAAAAAAAGGACATTGGAAAGATAGGAACATTTCAAAACCAATATCATTATTTTTTATAGAAAGTTAGGCCTTCAATTTAAAGTTTGAATTTAGATTGATTGTACAGTTTTGGTTGTTGCAATTTGAAACAGAAAAAAATTTGGCAATCGGAAAAATCCCAAAAAGATAGAAAACATTCTTTTTGCGAAGTAAACAATGTGATGATGAAGTTTCACAGGTGATAAACATATATAACGATAACAGGCGATTTCACAGTAGTGTAGCAAAGTAGTTAAAGTAGTATTTTTCTAGTCATTTTTTTTCTTTAGTTTAGTCATTTACATTTTGTACAGTTAATTTATACTACCGTGTATGCTTTTACCACATTTTTATTTTTTTTGCATTATGACATTATTTGTTCTTTGTACATTATCTATAAGCAATTTATGTGTCTTATAATATTGAAGCTTGTCCATGCACTGTTTTTGTGTTTATGACAATAAAAAATCTTGAATCTTGTTATTTAGTTGACAGCTAACATATAGACATCTACACATACACTTTACACAATAATATCTACAAACATAAATTTGATTATTACTCTATTTTTTATTTTGTTTTTATCAAACACAGTTGAGATTAGTTGTACTCTGGTTGCAAGACTGTATTTCACAAAATTAGCTTATTTACTTATAACCCAATTAGAATTTAGAATTTATTTCCAACCTCAATGACTAACTGTTATAGGGTAGGCTACATAATTTACAACACTTACAAAATATACTTACAACGTTTAAATATATTGGGAATTAACAAAATAAATTTGCTATAAAATTGTTTTGTCTGCGGTTGTGTCCACTATTGCTCTATTATCTACCATCTAACATAAAATCTGATCCAACATTAAATTCGTGCAAAAACTTAGTGTTTTACTATTTTTACAGCCACAAAATAAGGTTATGCAATAGTGTATCTATCTGCCAATTAATTATTATAATTTAAAATTTAAAATGGTGATGTTAGATAAAAAATAACAGTACGCCTACTGGTACATGAAAAGAATTAATCAGATATGTAGTGTGATAATTATTTACCAAACACAAGAAGTATCACTGTTTTTCTGATTTGGTGGCCGCAAAATAATTTATCGTTAACAGAACTATATTTTCTTTTACAGCTAAAATATTGTCTACCATTTCCATGCTGCTGTCTATGGCCAGAGCAAATAAAATTAACAGGTTCAAAATGATGATCACTCAAGGAATATGAATGAGTGATACTAAGGTAGTAAATATATTTTATTTTACTATGTTACAGCACTTGTTTCAAACACTGGACTAAATTCAACGATTATGTCATTTATATTCACCAGAACTAAAGATTTCAATGTGGTAGGACTAAAATTAACTTTTTAATAAACAAAAACACTATCGAAAAACCCCTAAAAATACACACAGTGACCAAAAGGGTAACATAAAAAAAAACACACACACAGTGTTCACGAGCAAAAGAAAAGTGCGGTAAAAGAAAACTGAAGAGGACAAAACGACGTTAACAATCAAAAACACAATACTCAACACTCAACCGACTTACCCTACGTTAGTAATGGCGCTAGTGATATTTGATGGCGAGAAGCTTGCTAGACCTTGGGGTTTGGAAGGGTCTGCAGAGGCTGGAGTGGGGGGAGGCTCGGGGGTGGAGGGGGGAAAGGGGAAACGACCTCCCTCTTCGCTCGGAGTCTTGGTGAAAAGTCCGGAACTAAAATCCGTCACCATGTTAATGGGAGAACTACTCGCAGTTGGAAGAGAAATAACAGCGAGAAGAGCGAAAAGGGGATGAAAGTATGAAGAGGATCAGCGAGAAGGAAGCGGGGGGAAAACAGAGAAAAAGCACAGAATTAATGAAGATTAAGCCAAGCGTAAAAGTAAGAAGTTAGTAACACATTAGTAAGTTACAACACTAGTAATATCTTACTCAGTTCCAAAATGCAGTTAATTTTGTAACACTTTCTAATTGTTGGATAACTATATTTATCAGTGATTATTGTAACGTTAACAATACTATGGATCAAATAAAATTAAGTACTGTAGGTTTAGAAGTGAAAAAATATTATTTATTGTTCGTTAATTTTTGATAATTGAAAGTCATTCTAATCAAGTCTGTATAATGATTACGTACCATCAAACAAAAAATAGTTTCAGTTTTTTACTTTTTTGTCTAGGAATCAAAGTGGGTTTCTGTTTGGAATTAATTATCCGTAGTACATTTCAAGGAACATTTTACACTTTTATTATTAGTATTAGGGTGATTTTTTTATACTATTGTGGGCAAAAGTAATATGTTAAACAAGTTCTCATCAAAAGCTACTACAACTGCTAGCATATAATTGGAATGAAAATGAAAATGTCTTTTATTCATTTTCATTTTAAAATATTTTTAAACTATTGTGGGCAAAAGTAATATGTTACAAAACTTTCTCATCAAAAGCTACAACTGCTGGCATATAATTGGAATGAAAATGCAAATTTATTTTATTCATTTTGATTTTAAAATATGCAGATTTGTTAGTTTAAGTTTTCATAAAATGTTGTAAGTTATCATTGAAAGGTGTTTTGGGATCGTTCCACACAAGAGAAACTTAAATTTAATTTAATTTTGCAAATATCAAATGTCTATGTCCCAATTGCTGTAAACATCTAGATTTGTAAAGAAAATTTGATTTGTCATTACAAAATTCACATTTAAACAATTACTCATTTGAAATTTCACATTTTCACAAAAATTTGAAACTGCCCACCATTAATTCAAAAGGTTACGTGTTAGTTGTACAATCCCAGTGAGTTCCAAACCTCAAACCCATGCTGCTAGTGTCGAACGCTAGAACGCTTACCTAGAGAACACTTTAGAGAACACACTGGAGGACGCAGAGTGTGAGGAGGGGGGATGGCTCTCGGCAGAGGAGGGGAGGGAATCCTTCTCCTCCTTATCTCCTGAGAGACCTTCCATCCAAGAGAGGGGGTAAGAGAGTCGCTTCAGCATCTAAACAGAGATAAAACAAAGTTCGAGTCCCACTAGTCTTAATACGATAATTCTGAAAGTCTGAGCCCTTGTTCCCATATCATAAACTCCAGTCGAGTGAACTGGTCTAGTTCACTGGACACCTAGGCCCCCATAATCCACCACCCCTATGTCACGGGGATTCAGTGAGCAGGGGTAATGGCAGCCTAAAGGCCGTAAAGTAAGGTCTGAAGTAACGTGTAAAACAGTACCAGGCTAGAGTCTGGTGTCCTAGGATGTATGTGAAGGTAAACAATTTAAAGAATCCCTACACATACTTTATTTCAGATTCACCAGTATGCAAAATTCATCTGTATTTCAATTTTTAATTGGTAGTCTCGACAACAGCATCCTAAAACTATGAAAATCTGTGAAACGCTACATTGTTTAAGAAGGCCGTGAGGACAGTTGACGTGACCAAAATAACCAAATCTTCAAAAAGCAAGATATTTTCTGTGATGTGAATAACACTACAATCTCCCGTAAAAATAGTAACCAACTGTCTCTGCTCATACCTTGTTTTTCTTTGTCTCTTTCTCGTGGTCGTCCTTATCCCTGAGGTTGATGCCGTCGTGACTCTCGGAGACAGATCTCTCCTGTGATTGGTCGAGACTGAAGCTAACGGCGGCACCAGTTGGTCGTAAAGGTTGTATTGGCACCGGTGGCACAAACTCATCACTCAACAACACGTCTGCGTCTGAATATGTCGACTTGCGTGGTACCTAAAACATGTTACAAATCTTAGTAGGCTTTTCAAAAATAGTTTTTGGAAGATAAGATTGGTTTAGTAATCTATAGTATCTTTCGTTAAATAACACATTATTTTTACAAATCTATTTTTAAGATTTTGAACCAACTGATTGAAAGAGAAATGGATAGAGTTTGAGAAATGAGGAAAAAACTAAAGATTATTTTTCTTTTAGTGTTGGAGTCCGATCAAAATTTACTATGAAAGCTAAACTTTAGAATTTTTAAAGAATAATAAAAACAAAGTCCTAGTTTGACAGGCAACAAAACAGGAATCGGTCTATAATTATCTATAAATATATTGATTTGTGCGAAGTTAAATAAAAGTTAACTGGTCAAGTAGTTTATGCAAGACGGAAAGACCTATTATCAAAACTATATTATATTACTGTCATGTAAATAGTAGTTAATAGATTACATCAGAAATGTGTAAATACATTTGATCTCATCCGTATGGAATTGAATTAATGTTGGATTAACCATAGAGAATTAAGGAACAGAGGAAACCTTCAACAATGCACTACATGTGGTATCTAGCACAAGTCACTTCTCCTAACCCCCCTCTCTCTCCTTTCCCCCTCGCCATCACTACTACAATGCTGAAGAAAGACTTTGTGCCTTAAGCAACAGGAGCTTCCGCACAGTGCTTGCCAATCGGGCTCGGGCGCACTCACAACATACTAGAGCTGATAGCGCTGAGGTCGTCCCATTAGCAAGGTTCCTCTGTCCCTTACTTCTCTGGGTTCGCTAAGGTCAACACTGACCTGTGGTACTACAGGCGGTGGGTCTCTGATGTCAATGCCCGAGTCATGGCAAGACAGTTTGACCAGAAGGCCCTCACTGTTGCGTCTATTGTTGTCCATCACTGTCAACAAAGCATTATGCATGTATTACAAGGTCTGGTGGATTATTACAATAGCCTAGCCGTTATTAATTCTTCTCTGATGAATTCAAATGGGATCGACGTAAGATTGATCACCAAGTGCATATTTTCTGATAGATACTTTCCTGTCACAAATGGTTGTGTTTTGTGTTCAAAGGATGCATTATCTCACAAATGGGTTATTATATTAAGAGTTTGTCTAATATTTTAATCCCATAAAATGTTTAAGGAATTTGTCGGTTTCAAATTTCAACAATTCAGTTTTTATTATATCAATTGTCAACTATTAGCTATTGTTTTAAATCAATAAAACCGAGAAAAGTATGCGCAATAATTTCCTGATTGTAACCAATTTGTTGAATAGATAGCCCCAACAGATTGAAACCAAAATTTTCCATTGATTCAAAAGTTTAGTTTTTTGTTTTTTAATAAAACTTTTAAAACCATAAACTTAATTTTTAAACAAACCCAACAGGCAAGGTCAGTTTTCACAGTCAGGCAAAGTGTCACGTAGTGTTCAAACTACTTTCCTACCACAAAATGTTCTTATGTACTAATATCAAATAAGTCCATCTAATCAACTATTCATCAAACAGGAGCTCTTATATCAATTATCAATCATTTAAGACGGGGAAGCTACTATGTGCGTATTTTAAACCAAATATGAGTGAAGGATGAATGGCTCGATCTTGTAGTCTTGTTAGTGACTATGGCCGACTAGTTCATTAGACACAGCTGTTAATTACTAGCTCATACAGCCAATGTCAACTAAGGGACCTACAGTTTATGGTGGAATTTGAACCACTTTTTCCCTTGTAAAAATCACAAATGCTTCAATCTACCAGGCAAGTTTACTCACCTTGTGTGTCTGACACACTAGCACTCTGCTCCTCCAGCGACCTGACCTTGCTAGGCACAGCCCAGTGATGGTCCAGGGAAGATTTCCTTCTCTCTTCCAGAGATCTTATCAACGCCACACTCTCGTTTTTGGGCGTAGGGTCTTCTGCTTCAGATTCCTAGAGAGTAATAACAAAAATTGTATTGTACATAATCATTTCGGTTGTAAGAATAATTTCGTCATCCAAATTCTCTGCTGATTGAGGCCTACGCAGATTTACATACTAACAAAATCAGCTGATCAGCAATCTATCCGTTGGTCTAACTGTCATGGCCATTATTCGTCATTAAACCCTAGGTTTTATATCGGTATTGTTGTTTAAACATTTGGAAATACAGTAAAATGGTATCAATCCTGTGTCAAAGTGAAGTGTGATACGACTGGTTTGGAATGTGATAACAAATAAATATATAGTATGAATGTGTTACTTTATTGTAGCCTATTTGAGCTTGACTATGATGCTTGGTAGATATAGGACAAATTGAGTTTAAATGGATAAGGTTCAGTGTTTGTTTACTCAAGGTAAGACTTAACTTAAAAATTTGGTACCATAAATAAAATTCTAAGTTTTTGGTCCAAAAACTTGTTAATGTTTTAGGCTAAATGTTACACATTACCTGTTTCTCAGTGGTGGTGGACAAGTTGGTCGGGGTGACTAGGTCTCTGTCAAAGGCCTTAGGGAAGGCGTCTCCCTCCCTCGGCACACTACAGGAGCACAGACTTCCTGCATCCTCCTCCTCCTCATCCTCAGTCGAGGACCTGAAACATGACCAAGGATCTTGGTAAACCTGCATCAATGTGGCAAAAGTGTCTTCAGTGGTGGTTTCAACAGCTACCTTACATATTTTTTAGTAAAAAGTTCACGTTTGGTCATAGTAAGTTTATTTCAGATTTTGGATCCTGAAAACGTGTGTTCTTTTTACCAATTGTGAAGGAAAATGTTTATAACTTAACACTTTTAGAAAGTCGGCTATACAGACAAAATAATACATGAACAAAACAATCTAGGGTGATGAAAATCTCGATTTAACTATCCCATCCTAACTACGTAGGTCAAGCACTAATCAAAACTATGAATGCTTGCCTGGCTCTTAAGGTTAAAAGTATTTAAAAATGCAAACACCTAGGAACAACTTAGGCAATTTTTTTTACACATTAAATGTTTAAAATACCTTGATTATTGCAGATAAATGATTGCAAGAGACAGCACCAACTATAGTTCGGCTGCTTAGAAAACGACCTGCGCGCTAATGCTAAACCAATGCTGGAGGAGGTCGCTTTCTAAGCGGCCGAACTATAGTAATCATCACTACTTGCCTCTTGATCCCTTCCAAACCATGCTGTTTTATTAGGCATTGCTTTCCGTTATTGATTAAGTGTAGTACAAATATAAGGTATATTCCTTTACGTCGACAGTTAAAATGTTGTAGTAAGTAAAACTCACAACATGTTTCGCCTATTGATAATAGGTGAACATTTGAACTGTCAACGTAAAGGTATGTACCTTATATTTGTCTAATTAAACAATTCAGGGGCTATATCATGAATTATAATAAGTGAATAACTTCTTGTTCAGAATCGTACGTGTTATTAAATTACCTGAAAAAAATATATACGTCTAATAACACTAGTAATAACCCTATAACACTTTCATATGTATTTACTGTCTTGGGAGTCAAGAGTATAAGTGTAAATATATTATTACTAGTGTTACACGTTTATCTTTTTGTTTTTTTTCTTAAAATAAGTGTAGTAATTAACTGATAAATTGTCCTTCAGAGATACCTGGTTCAATCTTGAGAATGGTTAATCCTCCTCAAGGTCTATTCTCCTTCTATGTCATTTATAATTTAGTTCATGATTTTAACTATAACTACACTTCCAAGCAAACATTCAACATTAGGTTGGTAATAAGGGAAACTTTTAAGTATGACATGAAAAGTACAATGTCAAAGTACGATAAATATCTTGTCGGAATATGGTTCCAGGATTGAAATAGACCAAATTTCTGGATGAAATCATTTTCATCGAGAATTCAGGGAAACCTCTCACGTGATTTTCTTAACCATACATCCACATGAAAGTCACAAGTTTGTAGGATACCACCGTAAGAGGATCCATGGAGCAGAATGCGTCCAAGTGTCTCACCTGAGCTCAGGGAACGTCTCATCCTTGGCCAGTAGGGAGTCCTCCCTAGCGGAGGGCGAGTGGTGAGGATCGCCACTGTCTATCGAGTCTCCTTGGTTGATGGTCAACAGAGTGCCACTGCTGCCTTCTCCGTCAGTGGCAGGGGGAAACGGCTCCTTCAGATGGTACACCTCAGGCTTGGGCCAGTCAGGTCTGCAAGGTCATTGAAATTCCAATGTACAACTATTCAGCCAACCGAGAATCATACATGAATTTTATTCACTAAAAAATCAGTGAAATAAGAACTGGAAAATTATAACTTTTGAATAATTACCGTCAATAACTTATGGTCACACAATTTGCACTAATGTTCTATAAATTCTCTTCCAACATTGATTTGAAGTAAAAAATTTGTAACAGCAGTGAATTATGTCAATATTGCTGCGATTCCAGGGGATGGACTCGGATGTTGCCGTGATGCTAGAGTATTTAAGTGTTTCATCATCAGTCCGTGCTGTCAATAAGCCCGCCCCATTAAGATATCAAAGTACCGATACTGACGTTTTAACACAGATTTTTTGTAGCAGTACTTTTTCCAAGGACTGGTGGTACCGAGAATTGTCTTCAGGTAACATCATATTCCATACCACTACTAAGCCAAAGAAAAAAGTTTCAGACATATTGTGATAGCTTATAATAAGCTATTATAAAGATTTTGAAACCTTAAAGTCAATCCAAGCATATAAGTTCTCTAGATGTCCCTCACACTTACCAATAGTACCAATACTTCTCTTTCTGTTCAATATCTTCTCTTCTTTCTGTTCTACCTTACTAGTAGTGATCCATTACATTACTGCTCTGAAAATGGCCATCTGCAAAAGGGCCACATTACCCGTAGCATAATATGGTTCGCTCCAAAGACAACGTTACTTAAGTTACTCACCTAAACTGGTCGTGTGAGCCGACCCTCATGTGAGCGATGTCGTGGTATATCGCTACGTTGACAACGTACTCCATAGGGGCGATCACACCGTAGGACTCTGGTCCGTGCTCTATTACCAGCGGGTCCGAGACATTGGGGTCGAACATGACAGCATTGGAAGTCACTAGCAGCACTCCGCTCACAACTCCCTGTACAAGTAATGGATGACAGCTTTCGATTTTAATGTTGGATTATGTTTAAATTTAAGAAGTTGTAAAACAAATATCTAGAAAAAATAATGAAACCTGTTGCAATTGTAGAAATTAAAATTCCCAATCAAGCTTCTTCTCATCGAGAATATCTGGTTAAAGGGTAAATTTAGATATGATATTGCAGTTGATATTTCATTGCTATCCTACATAATATCTTGTAGTAAGGAAGGGAGGTGAGCAAGCGATAGAAATTTTTTTTGCCCTAGGACGCTAGACACGAGCCCGGGATTGTTTTTCACATTACTTCAGGCTAGACCTAGGGGTTGCGACATTATTACTTTGATAAAATCCATTGGTGACTTTGGCAGGATTTGAACCTAGGACCTCAGGGACTGAAGTCCCACACACTAACCACTACACCAGCTCGCTCCCCAAGCGATAGAAATGGCATGTTTGTAAGAAATAACAAACAATTTAACCAAGATAAACTTTTAGCTGGTCAAGTATCACAGTTAGAATAAAAAAAGATTTTCAAAGATTTTTACATTTACAATACTATAATCCTCTTGTGTTATTGGGGTGACAATGAAAGTGAGGGGGTAACTACCCACCCTGCTAGGGTTAAAACCGCCAATGGACCATCATCGAAGGTTGGCTTATCATTACAACACCCTTGTTAGTTTGGTAACCTACTTTCTTGCTGGCTCATTCGAAAGTGATAAACAATTGTAGCCTTTGGCTTTTCTATCATTATTCACCTGTCCGTCAGTGATGTGGCGTACGTTGATCTTGAGGAAGCGTTGGTGGGAGGTGTCAGGGGTGGGAGACAGAGGGGTCCGCACTCTCTCTGCATGTCCAGGCTTGGGTGACGTCAGTCTCAGCTTCTCCAACATGTCTGCAACAAACAACATGGATAGTGAACATGGTGAAACATGTAACATGGGTGTCAAAGGAAAATCTTTGTCAACAATATTCAAAAATCGATACAAATGATTGAACAGAAATATTTCCCTATAGAGCATGTGATCACTTTGTCGACTATTAGGGTCGGTACATGAAGGCGATTTTGATTCCCTTTTCCTCTTTGTGATGAGTTGAATGAGATGGTTCCTGGTTCCTTGAGATGACCTTGACGACTGCAGTTGCTACACCCCACAAATATAGTTGCTAGAGCTCACAACCAAAATGTCAATGCAGGTAGACAAATAGATATTACTCCTTCTTTTTCACAAGCAAAAAAAAATTAAAAATCAAAGTGTGCATGTTTTGTCATTTTTATGGGGGGTTGCACATAAAATGGGTTTGCTGACATGAAAAAAAGAACATGAAAACTAGATGTATCCGCACTGAGCCTACACTTTTAACCGCAAAGTGTAACTATTGTATGATGCAAAAACATGGTGTTTCAAAAACAGTTACTCCTGTAACCTCCAAAGGCAATGCCCAAAAGTGCTTTCGCTACGAGAAAATAAAACCACACCACTGTTGAATTTTAAACAATTACACAATATGTTATTTTATTCATTCATTTTCAGTAACAGCATTACTAAGGAAAATGTCGAATCTTGATTGTGCAATAGACAAGAACCTGACAATGTAATTTAAAAATAGGTAGTAAAATGTAAATGTTAAAGTAATTTTAAATGCATTTTTCGATGCTTACGTTTGAGAATCTTGACAGACAATAAAGATCTTTTCTTGCAGTCATCCATGAGTAAAACAAAGACGGTCTAATTGAACACAGCTAATTTAACAAAATCAGCTTAATACACAATAAGGGTCACCAATCAAAAGAGGTAATGTACCGAACAGTTACTAACTAGTCTATTTCACTGTACGACCAATTGCTACATTAAGTTTCAAACAGTTGCACAGCGATCGTCAAACTGACGTTGAAACACACTTGTGCAAAACAAACATTGTGTGAACTAGGCTGTGAAAGATTCAAACATTGTTTTTAGTACAAAATTCATAATCTTCCATTGAAAATGTTTTACAGTATGATTATGTTTTGTTTGTAATTGGAATCAAAAGGAAAACTTTATTCTAAGAACTATTTTAAGTGGATTTTCTACATGGAAAATATATCATCGAATTGCATAATACGTACAATCAAATTTGGAGAAAATGTGGTTAAAATAAAGTTTGACAGTTAGAAATGAGATCTTTATCGTGTAATGTACTTCTTGTTGAACGCAATTTCACATTATCTACAGTGGTTTTAGGTCACGAGAAGCTAATGAGTCAGTAGTGATGGATAAAGAAACGAGACATTGCATTAACTGTTTTAAACATACCAAATGAACAGTCTACACACCTAACTATTTACAATGTTTGACGATAGACAAGTGTGATCTAATTTTTAAAAGTGAAGTAAGATTAAAATGTATTTTATGTATAAAATGTTTGAATTTAATCTTTTTCTAAGTTTAAATTATATATTTTTGGAATGTGAGGTAGATATAGACTAATCTTCAGCGAAAGTTGATTTGAAAATGAATAGTTAATATTTTTCAATATGTATTTGAATGAATAGTTAATTTATAATATTTTTATACAAAATGAGCCAAATATGTTAGTTTTTGGTGGTAACATATTTTATTGTTTTAGGATGCGCAAATCGAACATATTTAACTTCGTAGCGCCATAGAAATAATTAAAGCAATTCCAAATATTCCAGCAAAATAATTCTTTTATATTCGTGATCTGCTCGTTATTCCGGTTAATTTGCGTATCCACATGAAGTGTTTTTGTAAAATGGTTTTTTGGTAGTTTTTCGGGGTTATGTTGTTTTCCGTGGGAAAAGAACGTCTTTTTTGGAATCAGCATTGAATTTAAAGTAGAATGAAAATAAATTTAAAAAATCTTGTGCAAATACTAAAGTGCATATTACCAAATTTTCTAAATAGGACTACCGTATCACTCACGACAAATTTCTTAATTTTTTCGATTACATTTATGAGTAAAACCATATGTAAATAGGTAATGCCAACTCATAATAAAAAATATAATTGGCAACATCTTTAAGCTAAATCTGGTACTGAAGAAGTCCCATTTATTCTCAAAACAACTACTGGCTTTTTATTAACCATTCCATAGAAACAAAACACACCAAAATACATTTATGTTTGACAGATATTGAAAACCCTTCAACAATGAAATATACAAAACTCCAAACAATTTCAATTGGACATGCTAACCGCGCTGTTGAAGCAGCCTGCTCAGTATGCACATATGCACACATGTTAATACTAAATGGCCCCATTCGCCGAGAGCCCTTGTTGCGGATGGCTCTACTAGTGGATTACAATTCTATTCATGTTTTTGAAAGCAGTTTTGCGCCATTGCGACCCTAACGAGTTCTGCGACCCTAATTTGAAACTGTGTGAACAGGTCGTGTACAAAGGTAACATTTTAATATGCTAATATGAAATTAGTTTGTTTTATAAGTAGTACAAGTAAGATATGCTTAATAGTCAACTTCAACCTTTGCAGAATTAGGCACAGTATTTATCAGCTTAGTTAAAGCATAGAATTGTATATAATTTAAACATGTGTGTACGAATCAATTAATAAAATACCATTTACCTACGACCATTTTTTTAAAGTAGCCATTTCAGTTCAGTTCTTAGAATTGAAAAGTTTCACTTAAACAGCATTGTTTACTTTCATAACAGCATAGTTTTACTCATAACAACACGGGTAACGGACCAATGAGATTCAAGGATTGATAGAGAAGAAGTAAAATTGTAATGATTTGAACTTCAACTATCAGCTGTCGTTAACACTATCCTTAGACATACACAATCATTGCGTAAAGTACTATTACAGAACATCATCAAACAATTTTCCCCTACTAAGGAACATGGAGACAAAATACTTTGTTTTGCATTTTTGGCAGTCGTTTGTATGTGTAAGCTAATTTGATCTGTGAGAAAATGATTCCAAAATGTTTCGGAATAGATAAAAATAGAGAAATTTTATAACGCCGAACCATATTCTGTAGTGAAAATGAGTGAACGATGAGTATTGCATGGATATTTTATGGGGTACAACCCCACCACTCTTCCCATATAGTATGGTTAAGCCAGTTCTAAATCAAGTCTATAATTGGTTAAGATGTTTTGTCCCAATTTCATCAAAATCCAAGAATTTATAAAGTATTGTACTCTTGTGTTCCTTACACAAATGTACAATATCCTGCTCCAAGGTTTTACCGACAGACTACAGTAATAGACACAAATACTTCTCTACAATAAAATTGGCTAATACTACTTACAGCTTGCCCATGCTTGTGTAGTATCATAGATGCTTGTAAAGGAAAATATTTCTGGCAGTTGAACACCCCACGACATTGTACTGACACTAACATAGTGTGACTAAGACAGTCTTGTGATAAGCTATCAGTCACACCAGTTGACAGATATACACACTACCTGTCTCAGGTCTACCAACTACTACAAGTGGAAACAGGCTTGAAACTGTTCTAATTGACCAACAGTTGTAGATGAAAATGCTAAGTGAATGTTAAGTTAAACAAGCACTTTTACATTTAGTGAGTATTTTGGGATCTGTATGTCTAATATAGCTGGGTAAATGAGTTGCTATAGTGCTTGCCTAGCACTGATAATTTGAGTTCAAAAAATTGCTGACTTGGTCCTAAAAAGATTTTGATGGCTCAAATTGAGCTAACCTATTATCTTGAACTTTGAGCTTTTAATAATCGGACCAGTCTAAAGAAACATATAAAGCTATACATGGCATCTTACTCCATTCTACATTCATTTTTTAATTTAACTACTTTTAAAAGAAAATATACAGTATGTGTTATATTATGTCTATCTTTGTGTTTGTTTTAGGCGGATGCATACATTACTGACCCAACTGCACTAAAATTTTGAACAAAGGGCATAAACCAAGTTATCATGTAAGCGCATCTTTTTAATATTCTTGGGCCCTTGAATGCCAAAAGATTCATAATAGAAATATTTCCAGTGAATACTAAGAAGTTTATATAAATTAAATCTATTTACTTACTTTATAGTTTGATAACAATTTATTGATTTGAAATTTACACACAGCTTATTGAAATAAACCAATAAAGATCTTGATTTTACCTAGATAGGCTGTATTACTGTGTATTAATTTTACTTTTGAATAAACAATGGTTGGGGTGTACCTGTTTAGTTTTTACTGTAGATTTTAAACAATTCAATTATTTATTTTTATTAGTTAATAGATTTATACATGCAGATTCTATTATTCTTATATTTTCAAACAACATATTGATATAATAAAACTACACCTAAAATACACTCTTTAAATTCAAGAACCTTCCGACTTCCACAAATCCATCCCAAAAATCCCATTTAAAAACGGCAAGCTTAAAAAACAACACCACTGCATAAAATGTCTCTCCACTAAATGAGCGCTATTCCGCAAATACATAAAACAAGAGTTTTAAACAAAGCGTTTAGCTACCGCAACCCTCACTCGTTTTGGCATCCATAAAAAAAGTACTTGCGGAAAAGCCGTAAACAGTGTTGTTAAACGGGAGCTGCCACAAAGCGGAAATTAATTAAGGCGAGCGATTGCGTAAGCACGGTGTTAAATTTACTACTAGTGACATTGCAGTATAAAAACTAGTTTACCTTGTGAAAATATTGTTTATGAATTTGACTTTTTAGCGAACAAGAATAAGTATTTCCTCCAAAATTTAGATTTAGGTATTTATTTTTATATTTTTTCCCAATGGCAAGATCATGAAATATTTTTGATTAACCCCACTTTGTAGCTCTGTTTAGAGTTAGAGTTGGACGTAGAGATTGCCAGCTGTGACTCTACTCACATTATCATAAAGTAGTAATTCCATATTACTGATTTTGCCTATTAAAA